ACAAAAAAAAAAGAAAAAAGAAAAAAAAAAGAAAAACAGAAAAGACGTCTATATTTTCAGACTTACACGATATAACTCAGAATATGCTAACCATTTACACCATTCGGAATTTTCCGAAAATCATCAATTCCCATTTCCTTTTGTGTTGAATTGAAAGTGCAGTGGTCCGTTCCTACTAGCTGCAACATTTAGGCATATGCCTAATCATTAGTTCTGATGTATGGATCAGAACATTGATTATAAATTAGGACAACACCAGCTTTCATCAAAGCATAAGATATGTATATCAACTTTTATTCCTATCCAATTCGACATGTGAGCTTTATGATGATGAGAGCAAACCTGTAGAATCCCGGTTGAGAGAGCCGCTTGAAGAGCCTTACCATGTCCAGGTGCCCTAATAGGTGGACTCATGACAAACCTGGAATATTCATAACATCACACAATGACGTTTATGTTACTCGAATTTGTTGAAGAGCAAACGATAAAGAATTATAAGGGGGAAGTTAAGGATTTCCAAAACTAAGATGTTATTAAATCCATCTAAAGAGGTTTAGAATCTCTCTCACACTCTCCCTCTCTCTCTCCCTCTCTCTCTCTCTCTCTCTCTCTCTCTTTTTTTTGCTCTGGAAATTGGAAAGAATAATATAAGAGTTTCTTGGAAGAGGAAAGGTTCTTGCTTTGCTGCTATCTGAAAGTCGGGATCCCAGAGGACTGTATCATCCAGAATTAAACCTGAAACCACAGGCTCTCCAATAACCTTCTGACCTGCATGCAAGAGCAAGTGTAATTTTTTTTTTTTCTCACATAAAAAATGGGACTTCAAGATGAAATTCCATTAGCATCTTTCAGTAGCCAAATTCATTTTTTAATCAAGCATACAACTGCATAAAAGTTAAAAATCTTCCATGAGAATTTACCATGAGAAGAATCAAACTTATTAAACATGACCGACAAAGCAACAATCTTGTTATCTGGGGCAAGCTTTCACATAGTAATGATTTTTTTTTTTTTTTATTAAGGGATAAAAAAGGGGCACAGAGTGTAATACAAAATGTGAGAAGCCACTGCAGGTAGGGATATGTAACCAGCTAAAATTGGTAAGGCTGAACCTGATTTTCGAGCTTTAGCTATTTCTTCCATCGCATCAATGCTCATGACATGGACAACATACAGAAAAGTGTTTACGAAACCTGCCAAACGTATAGCTCGACCAGTGGCCTCACCCTCTAGCTGCATGATGTCTAACCAAAATTAGTGGATATTACTCAAAAAAATAAGTAACACAAAATCGAGT